TTAGTCGCTTCTATAGCTGCACGGGTACAAAAGTAGATTAGTCGCTTTTTATGCCCCTGGATAAATTCCCTTTTATAGCAAAAAGTAAATCTGTAGACATTTGAAAAAACAACTTATCTGTTATGTCACTTTCTGTTTAAAGCAATATTTTTGAGTTCTCTTACAATATTCGAACTAGTTATTAGTCTTGGGTATAGTTTAAAATTAAAATAGCTTAACAAAAACTAAAAAAAACAAAGTGGCAAAAATTGGCAGAAACTATAAAATGAAGTGAAGTGAATTACAAAAGTAAGTTTTTATGGCTATATTTCTGTGCAAACCGTAATGAATTAATTAATATTAATTATTTTGCAGTATGCGGCATTCCAAAAGTTTACGTGCGGTCATAAAAGCGAGCTACGTATGTTGCTACGAAGCTCTGCAATTGTTTATTTGTGCACAAGTTGGAGCGATTTGCAATGGCTTGGATAATAAGGTATGATGGTAGTTTTAAGTATGTACTCCCAAGCATTAACTGGTTGCTATTATTTATCTTGCTCAAAAGTGTAACCCCGCTACCTGATCGTCCTCGCCAGCGATATGCTCGAAAAAGACACACCCTGCTATTTCAAGGATCAACGCGAAGCAAGCGCATTTCGCTTTACCTCCATTGCTCCATCCAGCCTCAATACGGTTCGTTTAAACTTACACCACTCACAGTGAAGAAGAGAAGAAGGTGCGTAAAAGAAAGCTTCAGAAATATTAGAAAATGTTTAGTTACTTATACAACGATTTTGATTCGGGTAACGCGTTTGGGCACAGCAAACCAAAATTATTGTACGAATAACTAAACCGTACCCGAAATGTAATTTTTCAACTACATCATTTATTTACTGTTTTCTTACTTACAGGATGCAACCGGCAAGGATACTAATTCTAATTCGGTTTCTATATTCCCAACAGAGAACTACGATCCCATCACAACGCCATCAACTCCAGAATCGGCATCAAATAATGCAATCGCTTTGCAGTGCATGAATGCAGCAGAAGCCATTACCCCTATCCGCTAATGTGACGCAATGTTAAAGTGCAGAGTACATGTACGAAGCTCACATAGTTGTAAGCCAAGGCTTTTTTTCTTGTAAATGGTTAAAAATTCTTGTTGTTAATACTAACTAAAATAAAGGTAATTTAATTACTTTTATGTTTGTTATAAATTCTTTCAAAAAAATTAACTTTTTTTACAAAAAAATCCATGTTTTGTGTATTGCCTTATGCGAGTGCAGAGTACATGTACAAAGTTCACATAGTTGTAAGCCAAGGCTTTTTTTTTGTAAATGGTTAAAAATTCTTGTTGTTAATACTAATTACAATAAAGGTAGTCTAATTACTTTTCTTTTATATATAAATTATTTTAAATAAATTCACTTTTGTTATAAAAATTTTAAAGTTTTGTGTACTGCCATATGCGAGTGTGAAACACAAAGTTGTTAGCCGAGACTTGTTTAAAAGAAATGTTTCAGAATCATGAATGGTAACACATTTTAAAATAAAGGTAATTTAATTACCTTTCATTTTGTTATAAATTCGTTAAAAAAATAAACTTTTTTTGTAAAAATTTTGAAGTTTTGTATACTGCATACAATCGTACCCGCAAGGGATGAGTCGAGACTAATTGATCTCCATTAGTACCCGTATGAGACTAGTTGCGACTAATTAATGCCCAACTGTACCCGATAGAGAGTAATCTCGGAATACTCTCTTTAGAGATTAGTCGCACAATTTTTTGCAGGGTACTATCTACTCGTACTTATGTAGGTGTTGTCGAACATGCATGTCTACATAAATATTTGGGTCTTTTAAACCACTTTAAAGCGTTCAAATCGAAAATATATTAGATAGCCATAAAATTGATAGCATACATTTGGGCGTTACAAGGATTTTCGTTTGGAAAAGGTCGATGCATGACTGGCTCCAACATTTGCTCCAACAACAATGCCGCCACACACATTTATGAGCAAATCACAGCGGTTAGTAAAATTTTATCGAATACCCGTGCCAAGCCAAGGTAAGTTGGTAGTGTGGGAATATTTAAGTACTATAAGGCAACCAGGCCAACATCAACGCAGCACATTTTAACCACATGACGCGGCGTATTTGCAAGTAACTGAGCCGATAGGCAGCCCCGCCAGCCAGCTAGCTACCTGCTATGTAAACCGCGCCGCTCTTCGGATGCCAAGCACATTTTAGCGCAAATTCCAACAGATGTTAACTTATTTGTACTTGCCCGCAAGTTTCTGTAAGTGTGTATGTTTGTATTTAAACCATGTTGATTTTTGTGGCGTTGCAACTGCCGGTGGAAAGAGGCATGGCACTTTTTGGTCTGCCAGCCACACGCTGTTGCATTTGATGAGCATAGCAACGGGTTGCAAATAAATGATTTTATCCTTGTGGTATGAGCGTGTCAGAATTGATCAGTGCTTTAATGAAAAATCAGGACTTTAGTGATATTGTGATAACGGTGAGAAAACTACAAATCTATGTAAATAAATTGAAAAAATTTAAATTGAAGATGTTCCAATAATTTAAGTTTTTATCAAATACGTATTAGTTCAAAAAAAAAAAAATTATAAAATTAAATAAGTATGTACTTTCTAAAGGTTTTAAAATTTAAGTACTTCTACAGAAAAATCAAATTTTTAAGAACTAAATATTAAAGAGCTAGAACTTGAATGTTCGGAGAAAAAAAAGTTACATAAGCACTTCGTACCTACACGTATACCTATTTCGGTTATTCATTTGCTGGTATTTGTACTTAGGCCTGACGTCAAACTTTCCGTTATTAGAAGAAACTTTTTGTTTTTATATTGGTCAGGCAAGGGGTCTAAAGGGCGCTTTTAAGCAACAACAAAGCTGCGATCCTAAAATGATGAATAACAGGGCAATTATGGCAACGGTCTTTCAACTCACCACAGTCTTTGGAAAGACAAAAGTCCGTCTGTCAATTCTGGTAACTATCTTGAAAGCTCTTTCGAAAAACGAATTGAAAGTTCTGCTCTCGAGGAGATCTTAGCATAATTCTCTTTGTATTTTAGTGCAAGGTTTGCTAAAAATTAAATTAAAAAATATGCATACATAAATACTTTTCTCTTTAGAGCAATAAAACCTTAAAATTAAAAGAAAAATAATTTCATTAAAAAAAAATAATACAACTTTATAAAAATTTAATGTAACAAAAAAGTGTGCTTATTTTTAAAACAATATATTCTAAAAGTTAAAAGACAATATAATAAAAAAGTTCCTAAAAATTAAAGAAATTAACAAAAAAAAAAATTCTTACTAAAATAATATAATCTAAAAATTAAAAAATAATAATAACAAGTAAATTTATATTAATAAAAAAGGTCCTAAAAATTAAATTAAACTAAATGAAAATTTAATAAAAGGAAGAAAAATAAATATTAATTAAAAGAAAGAAAAAATTTTTCTAAAAAATAAAAAAACAAATCCTTTATAGAAACTAAAATCTAAAAATTAAATTAAAACAGGAATAAGGTTAAAATAAAATAGTTCATTATTAAAAACCAAGAAAAAAATTCCTCTACTCGAGGACTCAAAGCTCGGATTTTTCGAATATCACGCCAGTACTTTGCTCACTAGGCCATTTCGATTGTTGGAGCAGCGAGTGCTTTCCGTCAAACGCGCTTTTCACCACGAAAGTTGGCTAGGCATCTTTTTTCTTCTAAGTGCCGTTTTCACCAACTCTGGTTAATACTAATTCCCTGTTAAGCATCGTTACTCTAATGTTAACCAGAGTTGTTAAAAGCGGCCCTAAAACTTTCGTCCCAGAATAAAGAAATACTTTCAAACTTCCTTGTTTACTGTCTTTTATTTGTCTTACAAAAGTCTTTCTTCTATCTTAGCCAGAATTGCCCTGTAAATCTAAGCTTGTCATAAATAGCTTTGCCACGCTTCAACATTTGGCATTTGGAAATTTAATCGGGCATAACCAGCTTCGTTGTCATATGTGCCGATTCTGCCTTTCAAGCGATACAACTTCCGATAACATTATTTATGATTGCCCAGCTTCAAACCCTTAGAATTAGGAATTTGCCTTCTTTTAATATTTATTAGGGAAGCTGGAGGTATGTTTTAGTATTCGGCGTCAGATACTCTCTTTAGGGATATATAAATCTTTGCAGGTCACTGTGTCCCTTTTTCTCATACATCCAATTGTTTAACTTACCAAGCACTTTATAATTTTCTTCAATCCTTAATCAAAATCAATAATTGAGAGAATAGGAGTGGCATCTTAGGGCTTAACGGGTCGTAGTGGTTAGAGGAGCATTCTATCACTCGAAAGTGCACAGTGTTTGAAGGTTTTAGGCAAGCCTTCTTTTGCTGGTCTAACAGAAGCACAGATACGGTAAATAAAAATGAATTTTAGATTTTGAAAGGAAAAAGCCACGAAAAAACGGAAGTCTCGTCTTTTCGAAGATGCCATTAAAATTTGATTTCCTCTTCCTACTTAAAAGGCTTGACTTTTATTACCTTGGGCAAGAGTAGAACGCAAAAGTGTGCCGTAATTTTTTAAAGTGGCAAATAAAGTGTAATTTTTTGCTTTTTTAACCAACTTAAAGGAAAAAACGAGGAATTAATCAATTCGTCGGAATTTTTTGTATGTGTGTAACCGATTTTCGATAATTCATTTTCCAGAAAGGTGATGCTTTAATAAGGGTGGTGCCATACTAGTTTAGCTGAGTTCTGATCATCGGACCATGAATAAACTAACGACAATCCTAAATGTTTATATGAGTACTGAAGTCGGTTGTTTTTTTGTTTGATTGAAAATTATTTGTACTTAGTAAGTTTTCGAGGGTTTTAAAGATCTTCTCGAGACGTTTTACTTTTTTCGGTAACTTTTAGAAATGTTTATGTTTTTACGAGAGTTTTATGGTTTTTCGGGCTTATCCGGGATAAAGCGAGATTTGTTAAGAGCTCGCGATTTTTCGGCATTTTTCTCGAACCTTTATGTCTAAAATATTTCTAAAATGTTTCATTACCTGCACGCCATTGCCTGCCAAGAAACGGCCGGCTTTAGAAAAATAGTTTCAAATGCTGTGCTAACCTGGCATCGATCTATGGCATAGATTCTATGCTCATACAGAGTAGCACAATGCATCCGATCAATTTTCTTACCGATCTCTTTTTCGAAATTATCAATGAAATATTTTCCATAAATTTTTCGATATCATAATAGCTACTCTCATCGAGCTTGCTATCGAAAAGTTTATCGATATATTTACAGCTTTTGTCATCAACTTTTCGACTCGGTAATCAACTCTTAGTATTGTTTAGCTGCTCGATAAATCATTCCATTGGAATTGATAGAAATGTAACCTTGCGTTAAGCCCTGTTTCTCATTTCCATTTCATTATACATTTATACATAAAACTTACATACTATACAGAAATGTTATTTACACTTTCTTTGACCTTTTGCGTATTTGCTCAACGCATGCATACGTGCACATACATACATATGTATAGCTTAAAGTACATATGTACATACAAAGAAGGTGTTGTCAGTTTTATGACAGCTGCCTTGGGATTTCTTGCGGTCAGCTAAAATTTATTGGAGGAAAGTGTGTGGAATTGGCAACGAACAGACCATCCTTTACATATGTATATGTACATATGTAGGTATATATAAGTAGTACGTATTTATATAAATACATATGTATATGAATTATTGTACATGCAAACTTTTACAAGCACACTCACAAACAGAATGATTAAAACGAAGAAAAGCATATAAATGTGACCTCTGTTGCATACTTAACTCAACCACCGCGGCAGAGTGTAAAATTAATCCAAAATAATATAAATAAATAATATACTTTAAGGCGTAAACACACTGCATGCGAAATAAGTAATTTAATTCTTGAAATTTTAGTACACAGCGGCAGGGGTCAATTTACAATGGGTTGTCTTCTCGATGCCGGAAAGCCAGAGTGAATGGTGAAAGCAGATAAACGTGACTAATGTTGCCGCCGTGCGTTCGCGGCCCAAAGTAGGCTACATTTTACAATTTTTTTTTTTTTCAGTCTGCAGCGAACATTAAAGGTACTGGCCCAATGCAGGCTTGCTTTGCTTGCTTCGCTTTAAGAACTGTCAAAAGTTATTGGGAATATACTAAAACGTATGAAGGCTGGCCAAATGGCAGCTTTGCTTCACTTGCTTTATGCGCCTCAAAGTTTCAAATAGACAAATGTTTTATTTGAAAGCGTTTTGTAGGCTTTTGACAAACAGGTATGTTCCCATTCTTAATGAATTCAAACAAACTGCTGTACACTTTTATGAACAAAAGTAATTAAAAAAAAATATATAATATAAGTAATTCAAAGTTTAATAAAAATGATTCTATGTTTCCATATTTATATTTAACATATCTCTGGCTGAAAAGTTGGTAAGTCCATTTTTACAAATTTGACGTGAACTTTGAATACAACATTTTGCGTCTTTGAAGAAAAGCAAAACTCAATACGAATCAGAAGGATTCGATCTTTTTTAAAAGATTTCGTATTATTTTAGCCTTAACGGATTTTCGGGGCCTCTTTTGGACTTAGAAAATTTGCCTTTAATTGAACATAAACGAGAAAAAATAAAAGAAGTACCTTAATTTCTCTTGCTTCATTTATCAAAATATGAGGTTTCAAAGAAGGTGGACTAAGCAGCTTTTCACACAAAGCTAGCGATATTTATAATGTCAAACTACTGGTCAGTCGTCTCTGAAAATAATCTTTTTTTTTTTAAATAAATGTACATATATTTATAGATATATGAATATTATCATTCCTTTGAAATCAAAAAATTAACTCGCATTAATTTAAAAATAAATCCGAAAAGATTATTTTGTATTTCGTTTTTTTAATTTTCTGGAATTTTATGGGAAAATTATTCTTAGTGTAAGGGAACAGACCTTGATTTTTTAGCTATACAGCTGGTAGCTTTGACAGCGTTCCAAGCCGCCATTTGGCCAAACGAGTATTTGAAGTAAATCAAAGCAAATTAAAGGAAGTAAGGCATGCAAAGCAAGCCTGCATTGGGCCAGCGCCTTAAATATGTTTGGAGCCATTGTTCATATATTTCACCTTGAAATTTTCACAGCTGCAGTCATTTTATTATTTTAAGTGCACTCTTAATTCGCAGCTTTTCTTTTAAGTAAAATTTATTTGCTCGACTGAAATTGTATGCTGCCTAAATATCTGCAAGCAAAGTATATACTATATTTAGTAAGTATATGCATACATAGGCTACATTTATTAAAGCATCTAAAATTTAGGGCGTACAAATTTTTAGCTGTTTTATTTTGCCACTTTTTGTTGTTTGTTGGCTTGCGCATACAACAAT